AGAGGAAGAGGGAGAGAGAGAGAGAGAGAGAGAGAGAGAGAGAGACGGTGTATAAGGCAACATTAAAGTGATAAAGGAGGAAGGATAAAGATTACACAGATACCAATATTCGAAGAAAGACCTTTTATCAAGTAAAAGAGAGTGAATATTAGCAGATAACAAGGATTCTAGAAAAAAAAGAAGTGAGAGTGGACAGACAGACAGTAGACATAAAGGACTAAAATAACTAAACAGGTCCAATATATATAAACAGGTAGATGTGTCAGATGATCATATCTGGCAGTGTAAATAGCAGCCATGTCATGCAGCAGTCGGTGTGTCCCGAGACTTATGGATTATTACTTGACTTTACATTATTATATTGTATACGTCTATATATTCAAAAGCAGTGTATGTGATAGATATTAATCATATATCTTTTTTAGTTTATTAATACTTGGATTCCTGAACTGAGCCTTGTGTTCTATTGAAAATAAGGAATTATATGGATAGATAGACCGACAGAGAGAGAAATATAGTTACAGATCTAAAGATATAGATATAGAATACAGTTATAGTTTAATTTAAATTTACATTTGAAACTCCTGTTATTTATATATAAATAGATAGATATATATAGATATATACATACATACATGTGTATACACACACAATACTGTGCAAACGTTTTAAACAGGTGTAAGATAGATACATTCATATATACATACATAGTTACATATAGACAGATATATTATATAATAGATAGACAGATAGTGGATGAAAGAATAGATAGATAGATAGATAGATAGATAGATAGATTTAGATAGATGGCACCCCTCCACCCTCATATAAACACACACAGCAGTTATTGGAGAGGCAGCAGTAATGAAGCTCAGCAGTCGGGTTCAGGACTTACACCCTGGGGCTCAGCAGATTTAATAAAGAATATTAACCCTTTGTAGCCCTCATGCCGGAGGGTTACATCTATTATGTTTTTATGAGATTTCTCGGGATTTCACATCCCAGCAGCTGAGAGCCCCCCAGTACAGGGGATGAGATTCATATATCTGCTCATCCAGGGACGGACACCCTTTACCAGTTCTCAATGTTATGTGAATGATTATGGAAATGCAGTGTGCTATGTGTAATAAATCCAGAAAAACCACAATATACTGCACTTGGAAAATACACACTACATTATATACACTAAACTGTATTAGAGGTAGAGGTCCAACTTTGTTCTGATCCCAATGACAGCTGTGGGTCACTGAAAATGGGACAATAACATTCGGGATTGTCAGCCAGGGTAAAACTGGAGAACTTCACCGATATATATATAGATGATGGGTAGGTAGATGGGATACATGATCTGATGAAATACATCGCTTATACCAAAAGAAACACAAATATTACAATAACATCTACAGTAAATAAATGTTCCAGGGGGCAGTTCTAAAAGGAAAGGTGCATTGTAAAGAACCCTCCTGGGCTTTACCAGAGGCTTACATTGTGAAATATAACACGAATAGAAATGACACATTTGTACAAAGTAACAGTTGGGATGAAAACGATAGTAAATAATAAAAGTAGATACAAATAAAATGATTACTTCACAACATCACATAATGTCATTTTGGATTATTTGGTAAAACCTGAGTCTGTATTTCTAGTGAAATCATGGGGAGGTGAATTGTCTGCAGCCCAGCATGGGAATTGGGTGAACTAATGATTAAGAGGGTTTATTTCTCAGACTTTTACATGGTTGTATCTTGGATAATTGTTCTACCAACACAATCAAATCTACAACATTATAACAACTGCAATCCCCCACTTCTACTCAATTGTCACCGATACTATACTTATAGTGAGATGATCAGCAACATCGACTGTCTAAAAGGCATTTCAATTCAATAGTTCAATATTGTACAGGATTAAACAAACGAAAGGCTCTATTTAATGATCAGTAATTGATACAAGTCAGTTTGTGAAGCGCCCGACATTATGTGGCTAGAGGCATATAGAGCCAACATACGCAGTAATGCAGTAGATGATACAGAATCAAGTGTCCCGTGTACATCTGATGATGGAGTTTTTCTATGGATGGTGTGTAGCAGGGGAGACATAAAAACTGTCCTCTTCTATGGCAGGACGAGCTCTGGATCAGAAGTGGGTGTGTGAGGGCTGTGATCGGGTGATCTGTGATCGTTTCCTCCTGAGGATCAGTGACAGTCTATGGCATGAACAGTGTGCTCAGTGCTGTGCCTGTAAGGAGCCTCTGGAGAGCAGCTGCTTCTATCGAGACAATAAACTCTACTGCAAGACTGACTACGAGAAGTAAGTCCCCATGAACCATTTAATGCCATTTAATGTCAATGTTCTATCAATGACAGACTTCCCTCATTTGCAATAGCAAATAGTGGCACCCAGTGACTGCATCTGCAATAAGGCATCTGTGCTGTATGACATCATGATAAATAATATAATATGGCACTGCCTAAGAAAAAGCTGGAGGTGGTACCTATAGCAGCTAATTAGACGTCTATGTACATCTGCTTGGTAGTTTGCACCAGAAATGTGACAGATTCAATCTCATTGGCTGCTACTGTTTTTATACCTGGGCATCATGGTAATAAGAAACGATTCCTAAAGCTAACATACCAAAATAAAGATCTTATTTTCAGAAAACGTGACCGTTATTTTTTTAGTGCAATTAATGTTTCAGTCACATGGCTGGAATGAAGATCTTTATCCTTGCTGTTAAAGCTTTGTGGATTGAGCCCAGTGTCATATATCTGACATGCAAGATGTGGTGCCACATCTTTATGGACATTTGGGATTTTATTTGTATCCAGGTCCTTGTTTGTCAATTTCAGATCAACTCAGCCCCAAAATCAGATAGATGATGCCCCATGTTTATGATCCTTTGGCCTTTTTTGCATCCGGGTCCTTGTTAATTTTACATCAACTCAGCCCTAAAATCAGGTACACAATACCAATGTTTATGGTCATTTGGGATATTTTTTGTATCCAGGTCCTTGTCAGTTTCAGATCAACTCAGCCCTAAAAAAGAGGTACATGGTGCCCCATTTTTATGGCTATTTGGTATTTTTTTATATCCAGATCCTTGTTTCTCAATTCCAAATCAACTTAGCCCTGCGACAAAATAATATAAGTACTGTTTGGCTGGTTGGTTTCTTTCTAGATCAGTTTGATGTAATAGTAACTATTCTGTATAGGCTGACCTGTAGAGTGATGTCTGATTATGTGAAATATATTTTTATAAATAAGTTTTAAATCATTTTTATTAGTGATGTATTCATCTAGCAAGACGTTATTTGAGTTAATATATTTTTATTTCAAAATACATACACACATATATATATATATATATATATATATATATATATATATATATATATACATACATTCTTGAATATTATTGGTGATGGCAAATTGATGCAATTAAATATGTCAAATTTTAGCAAGATTTAATGAAAATGTAAACCAATTATAGTTTGATATATATGCTATTATATTGCTGCAATATCAGTATGGATATGTATAGTGTACATTGTAGATGTGCAGCTGTGGGACAGTTTTAGGGTGTACTTCCCTGATCTGATGTCAGATAAGATCGCTGTTTGTTTCTTTTTACATTAGAAGGGATAAGGGTTTGTACAAGTACAATATTTTTGCTGGAAGGTCACCAAGCTTCTTCTTCTTGCTGAGATCAGCCATTTCAGTAACTGGGCTACCTGGAACTGCAAGAACTAGTCATAGGAGTCATTTGACTCAACATTTGTAGAGGCTTTTACATTTTTACAAAATGTTTTAAGACCTTGATCTCCTAAAGGAGTGGAGAATGTTCACATGAAACAGTGAATGCTTACTGAGCTCAGTACATGCCATTAGGTTGTGTCTTCTTCAATCTGCCAATTATGTGCTTGGAAAAATCCTATTTTTGACATTTCTCTTGCACATGATTGGATACTCAAGTGAACACAGGTTTATTTTAATTATAACCATTCACTTTCCGAAAGATATACATTTAACAAAGTAAACAGCCTCCAGGAGTAGACAACCTTGGCACTGTTATTGCTGTGGAACTACAACTCCCATGCAGCATTACAAGACTCTGGCAGCCCCAGGCATGACTCCCAGAGGCAAAGGCATGATGGAATTTGTAGTTTCAGCAAAGCTGCAGGGCTGAGGTTGCCTATCCGTGCTCTACACCTTTAATAAATCGACCTTAAAGTGTACTTCACCATTGGCATCTGTCATTATTATACTTACATTTCTGAGAAATATATAAAGTGTACAGTCTCTGATACCAGGGCACCCTGTTAGTTTTGGTCTCTCTAAGAAGTAACTTTGGTGTAGGGAGAAGTAACGTTGGCGTAGGGAGGATTAAAGAACACCAGATGCTGCTACAGTTGGAGGTTTGCCAGTCAGGTTGGTATAGAATGAAAAATTAGCTATTAAACAATTTTGCTTTATGTGAAGCAATATCACAATCTCTTTCAATTGATGGTGCAGAACAATCAGCAGTGGAAAATATGTTTTTTGGGCCTTTCATTTAAATCTCCAACATTTTGCAGAAAGTTGCATAGAAATAATTGATCACTATATAAATTTGTGTCTGGCAACTGAAGATAATTATTTTACATGGCAGGACCTAGAGTGAATTTGTATTACAATTTAACATGTTGTTTATCTAATTTGCTGCACATTCTTGTTGCATGTTGCATATCCACTTTAAAGGTACTTACTGTTAAAATTAAAAATGATTTAGTGGCATACAGAGAGCATGGCCTATGCCTATTCTATCAGAACTTCAGTTTTTCATGCAGGTAATGCTAGTGCAGTGGTCCACCCTGGCCCCCTTTGTGGGTAACCTGGTGATCTAACAATGTTTGCAGAGGTATTTTCTAAACACACAGTGAAGGCTGTGGAGATTTAAAGTGACACTAAACTCAGGAAGTAAATCTTGAAACGCATTCAAGTACCTTAACTATTAACAAAAATGTATCCTATTTGTGTATCACTCAACTGTAGATCCTCAATTCTTCTCTGAATTGGTGCGGACACTGTCCTTCCTTCTGGAGGGTGACTACTTTTGTTCCCCATGGTCCCTGTGTGTGTTGTAAAGTAGCCACCGCTCCAAGCTCACTTCTGTGATGGATTACAATGTCGTATTTAGTTTACTAATTTGTATTGAGATTGTACCATGGTCAATTGAAAGTAAATATAATATTTCCTTTGCACTGGGGTGGCTAAAACTAACTGATAAATAATATATGCTATTTCACCCCTAAGCGTTTGATGATCCTTTTTATAACGCCAGTCCACAGGTTAATGAACATTGGGATTCCTTTATTAAAGTAGTAGAGAATGCTGGAAAATGAATGGTCACTTAGCCTATGGTGAATGTGTGTTTGCTTCAATTATCCTAACATAGCTCACTCCCATGATGGACTACAATCTAATGTTTAGTTTACTAATTTATATTGAAGTTCTGGTCTACCACAGGAGTGAGCTTGGAGTGGTGGCTACTTTACAACACACACAGGTCAAGTACTGTTAATAGTTAGGGTACTAGAATGCATTTTTAAAGTTTCACTCCCGAGTTTAGTGTCACTTTAAATCTTAAAAATGCATTCAAGCTGTAGATCCCCAGATCATCTCTGAATTGGTGCAGACACTGTCCTTCCTTCTGGAGGGTGGCTACTTTTGTTCCCAATGGTCCCTGTGTGCTTAAAAGTAGCCACCGCTCCAAGCTCACTCCCGTGATGGACTACAATGTCATGCTTTGTATATTAATTTGTAGGGGGATTGTAGTCCAAAACAGGAGCAAGCTTAGAGCGGAGGCTACTTTACAACACACAAAGGGACCATGGGGAACAAAAGTAGCAAACAGCTTTAACTTGAACAGGTAGAGTGGCCTCATCTGAATGGGCACACCTGGGAATTCCTGCCCTGAGAATCTGTAGGTTTTGACTGTAGGAGTCCCTGAATGCAGCATAATGTGTGTTTTTTTTCTCTCTTTGTGAAAGTAAAACAGTAGATACTCTGAGGGGGATTTATCAAAATCTGGAGCAGATGTGCATGCCAACCAATCAGCCTCTCTCTTTCATCTTATCATTTCATCATTATCATTTAATCTCAGCAGTTAATTTCCAGTGAATATAATAAATTGTCTGCTATATAGATAGCCACTAGAGTGAAAAATCTATAAATATGTATATGAAATGGTGTCATAAAACTGTCAAGTCATACTCTCAATGAAAATAGATTATTGCTTCCATTCAAGCCTTTTTTTTAACTAAATATTGCTAACAGAGCCACTGATTGAGCAAAAAAAGTGAAATTAGGTGTATGATATCTCGGTTGCTGTAATGGCACGGATTATGAGATATGCTTATATGTGAAATGTGATGTTGTTTATTATATAGCTATAACATGTACCAATTAATGTATTGATGCACCTATAGAAACGTGACCTGTCCAAGGTACTGATTCTATTGACAAAGCCAAAATAATCAGTGTCTCCTGCCATCTAAGAATCTAGATTGAAAGATTCTGTATATTCTGTTATCTCCATTGTTAGAGCTGAAAGAAATTTGCATCATGAGTTTAGGGAAGGGAAGAGCGGCTAACGGGAAATAAAAGCACATTTGAGAGTCAATTATAGTACATTCAAAGTAGTATTAACAGGATGATATTGGGATGAACTCCAACCAAATTGCTATCTAGATTTGGATAGTGTATAGAAGGGTTATCACGGTAATCAGGTTTTTATCACTGTCTGTGTTCCCTTTGAGGAGATGGAGATTTCCCTTCACATACTGTCGTGTCTACAACAGGGATAGGCAACCTTAGCACTCTGGCTTTCGTGGAGCTACAAGTCCCATGAGGCATTTCAAGACTACGACAGCCACATGCATCATTCCCAGAGGCTGGTGCATGATGAGATTTGTAGTTTCAGCACAGCTGGATTGCAGAGGTTGCCTACCCATGGTCTACAGGGTAAGAAGTGGTTAGAATATCTCCAACAGAAGTATGCAGCTACTCTTTAAGTTGTAACATAAAACAACAACGGGCGCCTGTCCTGGTTCAATAATCCTTTTTATTGGTAAAAATAGGAGTACAATAAATTATACTCACAAATGAAGCAAAGGTAAAAGCATCAATGGACTGTTAGTCCTCAGTAATTTGTCACCTGTGGAGATGAATTGAAGAAAATAAAGAATAATCCAGCAGCTCTACTAGATCGCAGAGTCACGCTACCACTGCTGAACGCGTTTTCGGGGACACGCCCCCTTCTTCAGACAAAT